CTATTTTTAAAATACCTATAAATAAATTTGAAAAGAATTGAAATTTCATGAGTTTCAGGACCTCCCTTATAGGCTCCCTATTCAGGTTGTAAAGTTTCAAACTATTCGGTAAATCGAGTTAGGAGAAAAGTTTTATAAACAATATCTCTTCAACGTCACTTTCACATCACCTTGAGGTCTTCGTGACGTAGGAGCCAAAATATTCATTTTCTTTTAGAACTAGCAAATTTTTAACAATAAATTGAAAGATTAATTGAACATAAACTAAAAAATACTTCGTTATAGTTATTTTTTTACATGAAAAAAGTGCATAAAAATCATCTATTTTTTGTAGCTCTAGTTCAAAATACCTCCTTAAGGGGATGTGAAAGTGGCATCCGAAAGCTCAATCGTTCATAAAACTTTTCTACGTCCTGGGTGTCTCAAATCGTTTCATACTTTAAAACGTGAATANATATATACATATACACATGTATGCATATATGTACATAATATTCAGTAGTCAGTCCAAGGCAAACGTTATCTGCAATAATACAATATAATATAGCTACTATTTTCATATTTTCAAATCTTCAGACTGTTCTACCTATATATTACTTTGTTTTTAAAAAATGTATACTTAACATTTAATAAGTTTCAAATTATTCGGTAAACCGAGTTGGGAAAAACGTTTTATAAACAAAACCTCTTCGACGTCACTTTCACATCACCTTAACATGTTAACTGCGGAATTTACTGTAACGTTTTGGGTTACAGACGTGTACACGCGTTGAACGCAGTTAATTGGTTAACAAATTTCTGCACAAGACACGGTGATTCTCATTTCCAAGTTGTATACACTTATTCAAAGATTTTGTCAGGTTGTTTTTGGCAGAAATAAATATAGGGTAGTGTAGTGAAAAAGTGGATTCTATTAACAATTGAATTGGTTCAACGAGCACTTCTTTTGGTGACTGAGCTATTTCTGAAAGAGCATCCAGAATTATTTAGAGAAAGAAATTGTTTGTACTGATTGTCTTAAAAATGAAATTTTATAAGCATCGCGTTCACCACTTTCATAATTACACTGTTATATAACTGTTGGGTAAATGTTACGTTTTCGAAACTAACATGTTATGTAGCATAAAAGTAACATGGAAGTTAGATGTTAGTTATTATTTCCCACTCAGTAAGGTAACATGTTATGCAACATGTTNAAATTGTTTGTACTGAGAGTGGACAGCAAGCTTATTATAATTCTTGAGAGTTAAACGTTTTTAAGATACTGTCTCAAGTAGCGAAAATTATTAACAATTGAATTGGTTCAACGAGCACTTCTTTTGGTGATTGAGCTATTTCCGAAAGAGCATCCAGAATTATTTAGAGAATGAAATTGTTTGTACTGAGAGTGGACAGCAAGCTTATTATAACTTTTGAGGGTTAAACGTTTTTAAGATACTGTCTCAAGTAGCGAAAATTATTAACAATTGAATTGGTTCAACGAGCACTTCTTTTGGTGACTGAGCTATTTCCGAAAGAGCATCCAGAATTATTTAGAGAAAAAAATTGTTTGTACTGAGAGTGGACAGCAAGCTTATTATAATTCTTGCGCGTTAAACATTTTTAAGATACTGTTTCAAATATCGAAAATTTACAAATGCGTAATCATTGTATCTGTATCACTAGTTAATCCGTTTTCAAATTAGCGATACCAAAGATCAAAAATGTGAGTTCTTCTAAAGATCGATGCAGTTAACTACCCTTAATGAGAAACTAAAAACGAGAAACTAACAGGTCATTTAAAACGAAGCGAGTCATTTTCTCCCTCTTTCGGTAAAGTACAAAATCCACACGGTAGGAAACCTATGACATTGAAAACTTGAAACGTTCAAGATGAAATCTGTGTAACAAAAAACAGATTTTTTTCTTAAAAGACGACAGAGCAGTGTACATTCTATTCGCGATGTCGAATTTAAATGAAAGATCATTACTCGAACAGTTATGTATCTAAATTTTAAGAATTAAACATAAGCAAACAAGCCACACGCTGTTTCGCCACAAATACGAATCGTATTTTCAAAATCATCATTGAAGAATTCTGTCTTAAAAATTCTTTTTTTTTTTTCAGAACAAACCATGTTCAATCTTTTATAAAAATGAAAAATAGGTCAGAGCGTGGACGGATACGTATCAAACTAATAAATACGATCATCGAATTTCCGTGGGAGAAAATTCTTGAAATAGATATTCCCTTACCATGTGAACTTGACAATTTATCGTAATCTACTTATTATTAATGCAATTTTCGCTGCGTTTTTGCAGCCGCCTGCGACAGCGTTACATGCTTAACCGTAGAAATGCAGACAGAAAAAACAAGCTTATTAACAAAATTTTGCACGAAGAGTCGCGCGACATGTACCGTTTCGTGGTATGTTTCTTTTCTCCACGTATATCCGTATACTGTCTGCGAAATGAGAAAACAAATTGCAAATGTAATGCCATCGCCTCTCTCTCGCACTCCCATAGAAAACTCATCGGATAAAAAGGGTGAATTGATAACGGCTGATAAGAAAAGTGCGGTAAAATCGTAATTACACAAATTAAACAAATTAAGTTTCCCTTGTCATCCGAACGTTTCATTCGGAAGATTAAGCCCTTAATGGTGTAAAACACATACGTACGAAAGTAGCTACTAAAAATATACGAACAGTACCCCCTACCGTCGCATGGAGAAACTCATTTACGCAACGTGCTAATTACGTGTGTGACAGCATATTTTTCTTTTACCAATGAAGGGTATCGTGCATCTCATTCCCTCTCGTTTTCCTTCTCCGACGTGCCAAGATGGCCGCTCTTTCGTGCAAGACTACAAGAAGAGGCCCGCTTTACAGACGACAAGTTCGCATCCGTGAATCCCATTGAATTTGATAATTTGATTGTATCGAGTGCAAATACACTTCCCCAACGCGGACTATTTCACCCTAAGCTTCTCTGTAATATTAAAAGTAGAAATACATACTTTATTCTTCCCTACTGCTCCTCTTACATACGTATATACATATATATCCATAGATATACACGTGTCCGCACGTCCTCACGTGTTTCTCCGTATATATTCGCATATATACATATACACATGTATGCATATATGTACATAATATTCAGTAGTCAGTCCAAGGCAAACGTTATCTGCAATAATACAATATAATATAGCTACTATTNATTAATATTTTATAAAGGCAATTATCAATGTAACTATTATCATTAATTGTATATAGTGGTTTTTTTTACGTAAACGCTCTTTACAATGTTCATTCTCGCGTGTTCGGTGTGTCAATGTATAATATACATGGTAGGACATTACAGGACACCGTGGGTGTTCCGAGCTCCGCTACGCACTCGGATTGCCTTACGAGCAAGGGTATGGTTTTCGGTCGTCGTGACGTCACTAGTGACGTCACTAGTGACGTCATCCAAGATGTGACATCGTTCTCGCAAATCGAATCGCAAATGCAACGTATTCAAAAAAGAGTCCTGTCTAATTTGGTTTTAGTGCCAACAGCGGAGAAAGGAACGCTCGTGCTGACGAAAATGACAATGTTACTCTTTGCACGGTAATCATATCAATAAAACTTACATGACATTTCCTGACATTAGTCACTATCAATTGCCGATATAATACACAAAAGTGAAATCGAAACCGTCAGTATTCTATGAATCGTAATTATATAGTTACTTTAGGTAGCGTAACAACAAGGAGCACGTTGCCCTTTTTCGTTACTCATTGTGAAACGGAATACGGGAAATTAACTTGGATTTTTTAAGCGGATGCATCGGCATTTGAAAACATAAATGAAATAATACGACGCAAATCCTAACGTAATTAGCAATTCTACTCACTGTTCAGTTCAAATGATTATTTTAGTCTACGGCACAGCGCAACTGAGGAAGACAAAAAAAATAAAAAAATCTATCACAATGTCTCTTTGAAATAAAATGCATTTCCATTGAACTATACTTCTTCTTACGATACATCGTTACTCGGAACAATACACCACCAACGAAATGTAATCATTAGACGAGTGATAAAACGAGCCGTTGATGATTTTAATTAGAAATAACGGCACCAAAAGAGAGGGCGCATGTGTCCCTACGTTCACGATTTACGTTTTCAAGAAATGCCTGCTTCGGCAGACTACGTAACGTGGTCAGCATTGATAGTGACAAATAATTTTAGTTTGGGAACGAGCAAAGAGATGGCGCCAACAGTTCATAAGATTTGCCAGTGCCGAAACCCTTAGGGTTAAGAAACACCACAAATAACTGATTTTTCCAACCTTGCTCGAATTCAATTGGACGTGATGCATTCGAATTGTTTTATAAGTAATATCCCTGTTCATCTCTTCCAGGTATAACTCTACACCTTCAGTCGCTTTCAGGTTTCATTAGACATTCACTAGGCACAGTGGTCAACTCCATCAGCGCAGCCATTTTCCGGGACTAACTTTATATCAGGTTTTTCCTAAACGTTGGACGAACACGAACGCTAACGCGCCCTGGCGGATGCCAAATGTCTTACATTCGAAATTAAATGACGTCCTTCGTTGCACCTCCGGAAGATGGCGCGCTAAGGTAGTCGACTTCGCTCCAACGGTACATAAGACTGCGTAGAAACTAAAATAAACCGAAGACTTTACAGGTTGATGGTGTCGAGAGTATGAGAGTTCCTGGACGAGTTCTCCTTCGGCGAGGTGGTGGCGACGTTGACCTGCTTGGAGACGTTGTTCGCAAAGGGCATGGCAAACTTGAAATCGGACCCGTTGGGCAGTTTGCGCATGATCTTCCCGGAGGTGATGAGTCTCCCGAATCCTTCCTGGTGGGCGAAGGCGTACCCGGAACGAAGGGATCGCCTCGTCCTCCTCGTAGATGGCGTCCGCAAGATGTCCTGACTCTGCCGGGAGCGAAGTTGCGCCAGCCTCTGCTTCAATCGAACCCGATCCGACAGGGTGGGCCTCACGTCAATGAAGAAGAACCTCCACGACAACACCGGTATCACGAGGATGATGCACGTTATCACCGTCGTGAACCAGAACGTTGCTTCCGACATTGCCTGCACATTTCATTTGTTTTCCTCTCACACCTTATCGGTGATATGGACATAAGGGGTCATATACGTTTCTCGGTTAAGAATAAAAACGAATTTCTTCTTTTTACTTATTTTCAAAGGTATTACGGATATATTATAAGCCTAAAGCGAACTCGAAAATCAAATTATTCACGAAGTTACAGCCCCTTGAACAAAACGAATCGTGTCGCTGCGTATGTCAGATTTCCAGCGCCTTTGTTCGATTTGAATTTTGTCAAGTGTATAGCATAAATAACGAGGGTAAAGCTAATGTAAATTTGTGTAGAATAGTGTATTTAAAAAAGTCCATAATAAGCTGATCGAGTATGTTACAAAATTTCCCTATTATCTAACGTTAAAACTTTTCGTAAACTTTGAACGCGTTTGTTTCCAACCGTACATTTCAGGACGGTGGACATGGTAACCGCTTCACTGTTTACTCCATTATTTTAATCTTTTACACACGCTCTAAATAAGTTTCGTTATCGACTTAAGAGGATATTTTTAAATACATTTAAGGTGAAGTGAAACACGTTGAGGAACTTGATCGACGTCGATAAAGAAGATTTTTCTAAATGCCTACGTTGCTGACGTTCGTTTTTATATTGACAGCTGGGTCGAATTATATTGGATATTGTACCAAATGGCATACTCCACTTGTCGTTTTCGTACAATAATTATAAAGAAATCGAAGTAAAACTCCAGAAATCCTCTGGATTCCTGCTTTCTGGGGCCCTAATTAACTGCAGAGGGACCCCCTGCGCCATTTGTGATTTCCAGGTGAATTAAATTTTCACTCCGAGACCTCGTATTCCCATCGTTTTGGCATAGAAGCGCATACACACTTTTTTTGCCTTTACCCCGTTCAAATGCGAGTTTATCGATTACCAGAGTGTTTTAAATTGTTGTAAAATTGTTTTGACCCTTTCGTTTCTCCTATCAGACCCTTCGATAATTGTATATTGATCGAAATATGAGAGCTCGACGCCATTTTGGTTCCGGTCTGGGCTGAGTTAACAAATTTTTATAAAAAATCCAAATTTTGAATGTGTTAGGACAATTCTTAGATGATCAGGAGTGACGTGTCAAAGTTTCGGACAGTTTGGTCTAATACCCTTAAAAAAAAGTGTTGTATTCGAATCGACTGATTTGAGGGGGGTTTCACTTCACCTTAATTGTTCTTGAATAATAATAAAAAACGTACGACTTTTTAACTGAAAATCATGATTTTTTTCGTGTTTTTACACTTTATTCAAATTTTTTAAAAATCTTCATGAGCCGAGAATTACGGCCTGAAAAATTATATTATAAAATTGTGAACATTTCATTCAGTTCACTTGTATATGTTGAATCATACCCACTGAATTAACGAGGCGGCAAAAAGAACAGTTTGATGCCATAGCACGCAGATACTATATTCGTAATATTTTTAAATTTTGTTAATTCCCGTTGTCTACCGTAAAACATCTATAATAAAAAAAGAACTAAACCAATCGACCTAATAGTCTTACTCTAATCCCTCATATACACGGATCATTATTTAGTGATGAGAAACGTATATGGCCACTTAATCTATTTGTTTCCATTTTTAGATCATAAATGCTGAATAAAAACAAAATGCCAATACGGAACTTAATTCATGGAGCAATTTCGCTTATTTTCATGAGATGCATACCATGTTCATTTGAACAATTATTTCAAGGTTACCGATTTCTAGGATATTCTGTTTTTCACTTTTGCATCTTGATCTGCCGATTAGAAATTGTTCTTTTAATCTAACCGAATTTATGGACAGATTATTCTTAAATGCGAGAATATTAGTCAGATAAAAGGAAGCACGTACCATCGTGAGGCTTCCGACGTAACTACCTCCTATGACGAAGTTATAGAAGTAATCCAAAATAAAGTACCAAATAAGGGAACCCCAAACCATGATGTGATTGAAAACTGTCCAGTATGAGGTGTCGAGGGCTATTTGAACCGTCACGACTATCACTAATATCGTTGCCACGACGCTGCCCAGCAGCATATGGTCTGAAAGAACGTATCCCTTCGGCGATACGCCATCCTTGTACGTTCCTAAAAGTAGACGATTAGCAATAAGTAACAATAATTTATCACTCACTCGAGGGAACGAAACGAACTAGTAACAAAATTCTATATAGGGTAAGTCCGGGATAGTTAGACCATGTTTTTTTAAAGTCATTTTTTCTGAAACTTCGCAATGTCTAGGATTTGGTATATTTTTTTTATAATATGTATATATGACCTTGAACAATTGTAAGCACTTCTCCAGCTGTTACACTAATCACACTTGAAGTTATGATTTTTTCTTTTTTTTTTACTCGGTAGTCCATCCATCCCGGGGGTACTCGGGTTAGATGGACCACCTCCTAGGGATTGATGGACCTCTGGTATACGTTACTAAATCAGGGTGTATAGAGTTATAAACTATTTGAAAAAGGAGAAGTAAATTTGATAGTCAATATACTTAGAAAATATAGGTAGTCTGATTTATATTCACATGGTTCAAAACATTTAATCATTCTGCAGTCATCTTCTTTCCATTTCCATTTATCCATCCATCCATTCATCCACATATCCATTTATATAGAAAGTAAAGCCCTAATAGGAGATATGGTCCGCCTATCTCAGGTTTTTTCAAGTAGTCCATCTATCCCAATTGTCGGGGATAGATGGACCAGTTTCCCGTCCAGACAAACAACGCTACCGGCATGCCATTTTAGGTCTAGATTGTACTCAAGTATACACTTGAGTTATAGGATTGATCTTACGTCGAAATCATTTAAACTAACTTAACCACATATCAAATAAATCCAGTATAAAATATTTTTCAACTCACCAAAAGAAATAAACAAAGTTTTCTTCTAAAATACGCATGAAACTCATGAGCAAAACTAAGCGTGGTTCCGTCTACTCAAGAAGAACAACTTCTGACAACGACTGCAGCGCTGCTGTGACACCCCAGCCAAATATTCGACTAGTCCGTCTATACCGGTGTCCATATATCCCAGACTTACCCTATACTATACTATACCGGGTATTTCATCTAACTTGACCACCTTAAATATATCGCTTATTTTGTACGATAGGAAAAAATCAGGGGGAGAACATATTCCGTTCGAAGGCGCCAATACGGTGATGGGCCGAATTTTTTTCTCAAGGTCATTTTCTTCGAGATATCAAGGTCATCGTATTTTTTTAAATGGGACTGCATATTTTCACTGCAACAGCCTTATGGCTTATAAAAAAACAAATCCAAGGAGGTGCAATATGTTGACCTTCGCGTGACCTTCAGCGAGAAGATTTTTAAATGTTTGTCAGTTACTTCAAAATGTGCACCATGGACCTGCATACATTTTTCCAGGCGGAAAATAAATTCTTGCTGTGCATTTTTAAGCTGTTCTATAGTAATTGATCTACATTCACGGAGAACCCTTTGACGCATGTTTTATGGTGCTGTGGGAATATTATTGTAAACTTTACTTTTTAGGTGTCCTCATGGAAGGAAATCAAGTGGCGTAAGATCCGGCGATCGAGCTGGCCAACAAATTCGCGCACCACGTCCTATCCTGATCGTCCTGAAGTTACTGACAAACATTTCAAAATGTTCTCGCTGAAGGTTACGTGAAGGTCAACATATTGCACCTCCTTGGATTGGTTTTTTTATAAGCCATAAGACTGTTGCAGTGAAAATATGCAGTCCCATTAAAAAAAAATACAATGACCTTGAAATCTCGAAAAAAAAATGACCTTGAGAAAAAAATTCGGCCCATCACCGTATTGCCGCCTTCGAACGGAATATTTTCTCCCCATGATTTTTTCCTATCATACTGAATAAGCGATAAATTCAAGGTGGTCAAGTTAGGCGAAATACCCGGTATGTACTGTGTGTACTAACAAAGTTCTCTCACCGTAAGGAACCAAGAACAGCACGCAACTGGCGAAGAAACCGTGCAATGCGCTCCAACAAAACTCCTTTTTGTTGAACAGTAAGTTCTGGTGTCCTGGTGTGTACAGCTTCGGATAAAGTAAGCTGTTCTTGTCATTGACATCCTGGTCAAATATACCGACCGCCAGGACTGGCAGTGACGTGTAAAACAGATTGTAGACAGAAATGTACATCGGATCGAATACAGTCTGAAAAGAGACAATGAACGAGTGAGTATAGAGTGCTGGAAATATTGCATCGCTGTCGCGTACTTTGTGCATCAGATTAGTGATTGCACTCATTTCGTCGTGGCTCAACTTCGGAATCGACCGACTCGACGAAGGAGCCCTCGACGTCGTATTCGCCTTATGAACATCATTTTAGGAGTAAAAAGTTCGGTGAAGAATTCACGAGGAACTATCCAAAGTACGCAATCTACAAGAGTGGGAAAAAATTCCCGTACAAAATTGAAAATTTAACCCTTTTAGTGCCGGCCGAAAAAGAGGTGCTTAATCAATCATAAGATTACTGTATATCATATTTTGTTTACTACTCGTATGAAGAAATGTGATTTTAATTCGTACGCGCATATACATTATCGGTAATTGTTTGCTAGTCGAATGAAATCATAATAGTCTTTAAGTAAAATCGGATAGTTTATCATTACATAATTTCATTGAAAGTCTGACTTGTCATTTAATATCTAACTATTGTCAAGTACCAAAAAATAATTAAAAATAAAAAATTATATAATTTTGGATAAAATTGCGTGATCTTTTTTATTAAATGGATGAAAAATTAATATTATTTTAAGGTAACTGAAATTATAACATTAATATGACATGTTACTTAACATGTTACCTTACGGAGTGGGAAATAATAACTAACATCTAACTTCCATGTTACTTTTATGCTACGTAACATGTTAGTTTCGAAAACGTAACATTTACTCAACAGTTAAATTATATTACTGAGTGGGAAATAATAACTAACATCTAACTTCCATGTTACTTTTATGCTACGTAACATGTTAGTTTCGAAAACGCAACATTTACTCAACAGTTATATAACAGTGTTCACTGGGTAGCAGTCTGAAATTTTACCACGCGAATTATTAGGATCTAAAGAATGTCCTGACACTTTCAAAATTTGGATTTTGAAATCAAATTCTTTGATTTGGCCTAAATCAAACTCAAAATAGCGTCATGCTCTCATATTTCGACCATTATACAATTCTTGGAGGCTCTAATGTAGGAAACGAAAACAACACTTTTGGCGCTCGAGCTTTCGGGGACAATATTTAGTTCGCACTAGATGCGACAGGGAGCACTACAGTACATTATAGTATCAAGAATTATGAATCCAAGGGATTTCCTGAGTTTTACTTCGATCCCTTTAGAACCATATCGCTGACACGACACACAGAGTATGCCATTACGTACAATTCTCAATATAACACTAGATAACTGCCAATATTAATATAAACATTGGTAACGTGGCAAACTGTTTCAGATGGTATATCAGACAGAGAAATCTGTTTTTACCGACGATTACTTTCTCGACGGGTTTTGATTCACCTTAACACGGAAACTGCTACCTATTTACACTACCTAATTCCAGATCGCAATTTACATTCTATCAGATTGAGGATTAAGTTTCCGCCGTTTTTAATATAACGTAACATAATTAAGGTGAAGTGAAGACACGTCGAGGAATTCGATCGACGTCGGTAAAGAAAATTTGTCTAAATACCTACGTTGCCGACGTTCGTTATTATATTGACGGTTGTGTCGAATTATATTGGGTATTGTACTAAATGGCATACTCCACCTGTCGTTTTCGTATAACAATTATATAGAAATCGAAGTAAAACTTCACAAATCCCCTGGATTCATGGTTTCTGAGGCCCTACGTGACTCCAGAGAGATACTCTGCGCCATCTGTGATTTCCGTGTGAACTAAATTTTCCCTCCGAGACGTCGTATTACCGTCATTTTGGCATAGAAGCGTAGAAGACCCTTTTCCTGCCTTTATCCCGTTCAAAAACGAGTTTATCGATTACCAGAGTGTTCTACATTGTCGTACAATTGTCCTGGCTCTTTCGTTTCTCATATCAAAGCCATCGATAATTGTATATTGTTCGAAATATAAGAGCTCGACGCCATTTTGGTTCTGGTCTGGGCTAAGTTAAAAAATTTGTTACAAAAGTCCAAATTTTGAATTTGTCAGGACAATTCTTGGATGATCAGGAGTGATGTGTCAAAGTTTCGGACAGTTTGGTCTAATACCCTTAAGGTGAAGTGAAACACGTCGAGGAACTTGATAGACGTCGATAAAAAAAGCTTTTTATAAATACCTACGTTGCCGACGTACGTTTTTATATCGATAGCTGTGTCGCATTATATTGGGTATTGTACCAAATGGCATACTTCACCTGTCATTTTCGTACAATAATTATTAAGAAACCGATGTAAAGCTCCAGAAATTCTCTGGATTCATGCTCTCTGGAGCCCTAATTGACTGCAGAGGAACCCCCTGCGCCATCTGTGATTTCCAGGTGAATTAAATCTTCACTCCGAGACCTCGTATTACCATCGTTTTGGCACAGAAACGTATACAACACTTTTTTTGCCTTTGTCCCGTTCAAATGCGAGTTTATCGATTACCAGAGTGTTCTAAATTGTCGTCAAATTGTCCTGACCCTTTCGATTCTCATATCAGAGCCTTCGATAATTGTATATTGATCGAAATATGAGAGCTCGACGCCATTTTGGTTCTGGTCTGGGCTGAGTTAAAAAATTGTTTTGACAAATCCAAATTTTGAATGTGCCAGGACAATTCTTGGATGACCAGGAGTGATGCGTCAAGGTTTCGGACAGTTTGGTCAAATACCCTTAAAAAAAAGTGTTGTATTAAAATCGACTGATTTGAAGGGTGTTTCACTTCACCTTAAAATGGCGGGAACTTATTCCTTAACCTAATACACGAACACACGAATATAAGACACAAGATCCCATCCAATTTGTTCACCGCGTCCAAATTAGGATAAGTTTCTCGCACAAAGGAAGGTTACGAACCTGTGCGCTAAATCCACAAAAGAAGGCAAACCAGATGTGGCATAAGGTGAAGGCAAAGTTCTTGTAAAAAAAGTATCTAAGGAATTTGCACATCCTGTAGTAGGACCACCTGCCGTGTACGAGCAGCAGTCTTTCTAGGAACCTAAATTGGCCTATCGAGTAGTCAGAGGCCAGGACAGCCTGCATCCCTTCTTGGCCACTGATGCCCACCCCAATGTGGGCTGCCTTGATCATCGAGACGTCGTTCGCGCCGTCGCCGATGGCCAGCGTCACGGCGCTCTTGTTCTTCTTTATCATTTCAACGACCATGGCCTTCTGAAGGGGTGTCACTCTGCAGCATATCACCGACTTACCTAACAAACAAATTCTCTCTCCATTAACCTCGTTCGTTTTGCTTACATTATCATTTTTATCACATTCTACGACAAGGTTAACGGAAAAAATCAAGCGACCCAAGCGAAGTGAAATATTAAAAAATATACATCTCTGTATTAAACGAACCAATCGGTTTTGTTCATAGCTTAGAAAATGCAGAAAAATCGTCCACTCTCGATGGCCTCGTTAAAGTTGACTTTACTCATTCGAGAGGTTCAAAAAACAACATTTATTGTTCAATTTGACACGCCAGGCTGAACATCGCGGATAATGACTAGGTCTGAGTTTCGCACCTCTATTTATATATTTGGCGCGAAACTCTGCCGAGTTTCTTAATCACGTCAACTCAGTTAAGGGGGTACACCACTTTGACGCACCGAAAAATTACGGTTTTTTCAAGAATTTTTTTTTTAACAGTTAAAACGTTTTTATCCAAATTAAAGTACAGTAAGGAATTATACTACTATTAAACTCGCTCACTGCGAAAATCGGTAATCGTGCGGTGGGCAGGTGTATAGGTGTAAACGCGTTTTTCTTAAAACTGCATTTTAAACATCGGTGGGCACTCTAGTTCCGTCAATTTTCAATCAATCGTCTTGATTCTTTTTTTACTTTATTTGTGATATGTTTATCTAGCGAAATACGTATGGCTTTTTCAATGTATTGATATTCGCGTTTTTTATGCAATATTAGTTAACGAAATTTAGGACAAAATACGTATCTTTCCTTTCAAATCGATGCCATTTTGTGAAGAATGCATATTTTTGAAAACGCTACGTATTTCGCTAGCTTTTGGGGTACAGAAACTAATTCTTTTTTGTTCATTGTTCTAACTTAAACCTGGACCGACAAGGAAACATTCCCAAGTGTCCGCCCCCGATCTTATTGATTTCCATATATGTTGAAGAACACAAAAATCTAAGAGACACGTGTTTTTTTTATATCTGCGNAAGATTTCAACGTAAATATAAATGTAGGTAACGAGACGCGCCAACTTATGTTACCACTTGAGTATTCAATTAGTTGCAGGTAAACGTTGCAGATGGCGACGTTGGTCCCTCAAACTATAAACAGTCATGAATTCACGGGATTTCGACAGTTCTACATGGATCATTTTATCACTATTTGAGCGAAATGACACACGGAACTCTTCAGTTCGCATAATTTTCGACGTAGACTGAAAAAGACTTCACCATAAATATAAATGTCGGTAACGGGACGCGCCAACTTTTGTTACCACTTGAGTATTCAATTAGTTGCAGGTAAACGTTGCAGATGGCGACGTTGGTCCCTCAAAATATAAACAGTCATGAATTCACGGGATTTCGACGGTTCTACATGGATCATTTTATCATTATTTGAGCGAAATGACACACGGAACGCTTCAGTTCGCATAATTTTCGACGTAGACTGTAAAAGACTTCAACATAAATATAAATGTAGGTAACAAGACGCGCCAGCTTATATTACCACTTGAGTATTCAAAACGGCATTACCAGCAAAAAGGGTATAGAAAAATTTAATTTTTTCGACGTCGATTAAATTTCGGCCGTTCATATCATTTTAACATCCACCTCTTACCCGAAAATCCCACCCTTATGGCGCAGTTCGGCATGTCATGTATGGGGATTACAAACACTAAAAGAATACCTACGACATAATGTGGTGCTGTTTTGTTGCTTTCAAAGTACACAATTTCTAGCCACCTAACACTCACCCTTTACCCGAAAAATGCACCCCTTACGACATAGGCCAGCATGCTACATGTGGTGATGCAAAAATCGGGTGAATATCTGTGTCATAATTTGCTGCTCTTTTGTTGTTCGCGAAATACACGATTTTCAGACATCTAACGTTCATCCCTTGCACGAGAAACGCACCCTTTATGGCCTCTCAATTAGAGGATCTCCCAATCAAAATAGGATTGTCTGCAGCTGATAATCGGTATCAAAAATCATGAATTTAGGACTCCTTGAGTTTCGATCTCTTTATAATCATTCTACCGAGACGACATATAGAATTTGCCATTTCGAAAAACTCTCGATGTAGAGTGTAACAGATGTTAATATACAAACATAAATGCCGGTCACGAGGCGCACCATTTATGTCACCACTCAAGTATCCGAAATAACGTTACTGCCAAAAAGGGTGGAGACCACAGATAGTTTCAGATGGTATATTAGAAGACTTTTTGTTACCAACTTTAAATCACTTTTTTGGCGCCTTTCACATCACCTTAACGTTCCACTTTTCGTTACGCCTCCATTCCTTAAGGTGATGTCAAAGTGGCGTCAAAGAGGTCTCATTTATGAACATTTTTCCATACCAAATGTACCGAAATGTTTTAAACTCGACAACGTGAATATAGAGGCTATAAGGAAGGTTTTGACATCCAACAAATATCGATTAAAAAAAATTTGTATTATAGATATTTTTAAAATATTTGATACAAAAAAATCGTCCACTCTCGATGGCCTCGTTAAAGTTGACTTTACTCATTCGAGAGGTTCAAAAAACAACATTTATTGTTCAATTTGACACGCCAGGCTGAACATCGCGGATAATGACTAGGTCTGAGTTTCGCACCTCTATTTATATATTTGGCGNAAGAATGAAATTTTATTCCTTGTCAGGACCTTCCTTATAACTCCCATAATCACGTTGTAATGTTTCAAACGATTCAGTTCACCCAGTTTGCAGAAAAATTTCACGAAAGATTGATCCCTCAGATGCCACTTTCACACCCCCTTAACATGCGAGCTTACATTCTCGTGACACATGAAGTTTCACTTCAATAATACACTCAATCCTCTCATAATACGGTCAACTCGTACCGTGCAATACGAAAACTGGGTTAAACGAAATTTAGAATTACGTATTTCAACCGAAATAGTGTAATGGGAAAATTTATGCTATATGAAGGCTGTCCAAATTTCTTAAGGGGTGTTTGATTAAAAAAATGCATTTTAGTTATGAAAAAAAAAATTCTTGAGTTTCGCCTATGACAACTGCGTATAACCCCTTACGTCGTGGTATATGGAAAACTTGTTACAGTTAATTGTCGCACTGTGTCGTACACGGGAAAAAAAATGGTCAGAAACAATTGTGATAATCGTGACTATGCGTTGCGCAGCAACATGTGGGATAACTTTGTCAGGAGGTTGTTGCAACCAACCTAACATAGTAAAAGAACAAAGTTAGGGTTACTTCAGTGTTTGGTCAAAATAACGACAAAGCCCGATTTGTTGTAATATAATGCGAATCATAACATCTTTATATAGTTAATATTATCATTCCACGTGGCGATAAATACTAGAATACTAACATAGCCTCATAGATATGGCAACTATTGGCAGGGTTACATTTATCATTCGACCACGACATAATAAGTTTTATCATTTGTATGGATCCTATCATCATAATATTTTAGCAATGTTGCTATAATAATTGTAAGCAAATAATTTTTTTCTGCGTATGGTCCATTTGTATCGTTCGTATCATCATAGTATTTTAGCAATGTTGCTACAGTAATTGTAAACAAATAATTTTTTCCGTGTATGGTCCATTTGTATGGTTCATATCACCATAGTATTTCGGCAATGTTGCTATAGTAATTGTAAGCTAATAATTTTTTTCCGTGTATGGTCCATTTGTATGGTTCCTATCACCATAGTATTTCGGCAATGTTGCAGTAGAAATTGCAAGCAAATATTTTTTTTCCGTGTATGGTCCATTTGTATGGTTCATATCACCATAGTATTTTAGCAATGTTGCTATAGTAATTGTAAGCAAATAATTTTTTTCCGTATATGGCCCATTAGTATGGTTCATATTATCATAGTATTTTAGCAATGTTCCTATAGTAATTGTAAGCAAATCATTTTTTTCCGCGTATGGTCCATTAGTATGGTTCATATTATCATAGTATTTTAGCAATGTTCCTATAGTAATTGTAAAAAAATAATTTTTTCCGTGTATGGTCCATTTGTACGGTTCCTATCACCATGGTATTTCAGCAATGTTGCTATAGTAATTGTAAGTAAATAATTTTTTCCGTGTATGCTTCATATCATCATAGTATTTCAGCAATGTTGCTACAGTAATTGTAAGCAAATAATTTTTGTCCGTGTAAAGACACCGCGTTATAAGGGGGTTAAGTGTACTAAAATAAAAATATATATTGAAAAAAAAAACGAAATAACTTACATTGACTCGAGACGTCGAGGAAGAGCCTCTCGAGCTGCGGATGCAACGCGTGCACCAAGGAATGTCCATTTATAACAACGGCGAATCCGGTAGCTTGATCCAAGTCGTGGTCGTCCGCTTCGTCTCGGCTGGGATTGTACTCGGTGTCGCTGCTACATGCATAAATGATTCAACAATTCGGAACGAGAAAAACTCCTGGCACCTCTGTCGCTTACAACGCTATTATTTAAACTTCATTTGACATCTCTTCCGCCATGCCGGACCTCAGATTCCACGTTTCCGCTATTTTCGCTTTTTACAGGATTTTTACAAAATTCCCAATTTAGCGTGGACATTAAGAAACACGAATGGAATTCTTTAACATCACTTTAAGCAAGGTTGCGTCGGCGATTTAATTAAATAAGGACCTAAGAAAGGCATGTCGGCCATTTTAGATCATGGTCGAGGGATGATATGAATTTTCTGGCGGGAATTCTGTGAGACGACAATATTTGCTGATGAACACCGGAACTTGATTAATCCAGTTCTAGTAGAACAAAATATTTGTCCTATATTTTCTATATATTTAACGAATATCATACATTTTGTAAATATTTAGCAGACATTTGAAATATTTGCTAAATATAATTCGACCCAGCTGTCGATATAAAAACGAACGTCGGCAACGTAGGCATTTAGAAAAATCTTCTTTATCGACGTCGATCAAGTTCCTCGACGTGTTTCACTTCACCTTAAATATATGAATTCCAGCTACAAACACTGTCGTGTAAAAATCACTTGCCGAGTAGAAACTCGGATTATTATTGTTTAATCAAGCAACCACACAATATTTCATGTTCTTACTGATTAACCGAGTAGTCAAACAATTTTTCATTTTGATTATTGATTAACAGAGTGATGACAATATTTTGAGTCGTGGTCCCTCGGTTACTTCAATAATTGATGATCCACAGTTAAACATTATTTTTGTGATGAAGCTTTTCGTATTTTATGCAAGTGACGGGAAAAAAAAAAATCGAAACTTTGCATCCGACTTTATTGGGCCCGCAAGAGTAACGAAAAGAGGTAACAGGGGAAACGCTTTGTGGAATCCGAAGTCAGGCCTCGAAGTTTGAATGATGCACAAAGATAAGACACAATGCAGAATGTATAGTACCCACGAATCTCCTGGATATACAAGAACGTAACATAAGCAACATAATGTTCGTATCGTTACTGACTATGGATTAAGATTAATTTTAAGCAGACAGAAAGAGAAGGAGTGAGTTATCAAGCAAACGAAGTAATTATTATTTTCAATTCGATATCATCGATAAAGAACACATTCCCAGTTTAAACGCTTTTAATTGTGTGTACAGAGCACGAGTGGCCGGCAATAGAGGAAGCTAGTCTAGAAGCCGGGAACAAGAACTTTTAGAGTTTCCACTTCCAAATCTAAGATGAACATCAGCTCCTCTAATGCGAGTGGGGTGAACGCATTTCAGCGGATTCGCTCAAAAATGGTCTCAAACGTTAGAACGACTATGCACGATACTATAGGTCAATAACTCTAGGACAGGAAAAAGAAATAGTTGATACGTTCTGAATCGTGTATACAGAGCACAGATTGTCGGTAACGATCTAAAAGATCTAAAGCGGTACGTATGTCCATTAAATCCTCCACAGCTACGTTTTTTAATAATGCCATTACTTTAAGAGGATATGAAAGAGTCAGCTTATATATCTGAGAAGTCATATAGTTGGGGAAAGTATTCTCCGAATTGTGGGTACCGATTCGTTTCAAATTTTTCCACGTGAACATGGAGGTCCTGAGGTAAGTCCTGAAACTCATGAAATCTCATTGTTCATCAAAAATTTATTTACTTATCATGGACTAGAACCAACATGGCGTGGTCCGTGAACGTTTTCGGGGTTTTACGCTTCTTGGAGGCTTGGAATCGAAAATAAAGAGTTTCAGGACTTAGCTCGGACAATTTAGAATATTGTAGAAATTGAATGCTACAGAATCAGATGGGAAAATGTGGTAAATGCTTTAACCAACGATTGCAAGAGAATACTGGATTGTCCCGCGGCTAACACGTGTTTTTAGAGGAAAAATTTAGTTGCAGTTAAACGTCACAGATGGCGACGTTGGTTCGTCAAAACGTAAACAGTCATGAATTCATGAGATTTAGAAATAACGAACAATTTAGAATATTGTAAAAATTGAATACTACAGAATCAGATGGGAAAATGTGGTAAATGCTTTAACCAACGATTTTAAGAGAATAATGGCTTGTCCCGCGGCTAACACGTGTTTTTAGAGGGAACATTTAGTTGCAGTTAAACGTCACAGATGGCGACGTTGGTTCGTCAAAATGTAAACAGTCATGAATTCATGAGATTTCGGCAGTTTTACATCGATCTTTTTCTCATAACTTTACCGAAATGACATAAGGAACCTTTCAGTTCGTATCATTCTCAATGTAGACTGTAAAACCCTTCAATATAAATATAAATGTCGGTAATGGGACGCGCCAGCTTATGTTCCCACTTGAGTATTCAAAATGGCATTCCCACCAAAAAGGGTATTTATAATTTTTAATATATTATAAATTTCTTAGCGCCTTTTATATCCTCTTAAAGTATCTATGAATCATATAGACGGAGGAATGAAATGAAATACAAAAATGTAGATGTAAGTGTACACGTAACCTTAAAATCTTTGCAGATGTTCTATACACGCCTTTAACGTGAATCAATCTTGATTAATACCGCATACTGGAGGATTGAGTGGCACGTACTTTGCAAATTGAAGTTCAATTACACGCTGCATACACATCGAAAGACGTCGAACCCCTCATCGATCGCATGCAAGAATCGACGCCAATAATGTTTCCAATCGATAACAAGAGTCTCGAGGAGGTAACTCGGACTTCAATTAAGCAATGTTCTACAAAATAATTAAGAGGGATGCTAGCTAGTAACGGTCCAACGGATGCGGTCGAAAAGAGAGTACAATAGCATCGTAGGAGTACCATAGACATGGGTTCAGGGGTCTGCAACTGTCTCTCCTTATAATTCAACATTTCCTGGAGGATTGCTAACCGAATAAATGGGTATTCCACTTATTCCGATCAATGCTACTTATACTAAGTTCCAACCTTCGAAGATTTAAACGCGACGACCTGGCTTAAAAAGAACATCCTGGCCTTGCTTTGCCGCGTTTCACTTTACATAGACCTAAAAAGGAACTGAATATTTCCAGCACCACCAAGTGGAATCATTTAGATGTCTCGAAATGGTCATTGAGATTAAATCTTAAGTCTTTTCGGTCCTTTTAATCGCCTGAGACTTTCAGGATAAGAAATCCATGCGATCCCAGGCGTAGACCAGACGGAGCAGAGAAAGCAGAACACTGAACACGGTGCGACATTCAACGTGAAGGGTGAGGAACCTTCGATAAATGCGTTAATCAAATAGAATTAGGAATGCAATGGAAATGATGAAAGTTCGAAACTGTACTCCGTCTCTTTCCTTTGCCTGACCTTTCCTTGTCCCACCTGAATGTGACGACGGAGAGCGTCGGCCTATTCGGCTGGTTAGCTGCCGTTTTCATACTTTCCAGGAACCGGGTAAGCTGTGACTCGACGCCGTCGTACGTCGTCGCGTCCACCACGAAGACGTCCGTCAGGTCGTCCGTAAGCAGCTGACACGAGTATCCGATGTTGATCGCGGTCTCTGCAAGTTGAAATAAGCATTACTTCAGATACCCAGACTCTTTTGCGGGAGAAATTTCGAATTGATTGTACTATCTAAAGCACATGTTTTACAATCTACTCGACTATCGGAAATACATGTACAATCTTAACACTAGGTTTACGGGCGTTTTTTGTATACCTGTTTCTACGAGCACCCGTCAAATTGACGAGTAAACGAAAATACGGATTTTCTTTAAAAAATCGATTTATTCAAATTAAGTCTGGATTAAACAACCCTAGGCTTTACGTTTAAATAAATTATTAATGAGTAAAAAGTCCTTTTTTAAAAATTATCACGGAAATGATTGGAATGCTCGTCCTCTCATCCTCGGAGTCGGAACTAGAAAGAATGCGCATCCTTTTCTTGCTACGACACCCTTTCAAGAAGTTTTCCTCTTCACTATCCGAAGATCCTTCCATTTCTCCACTTTCAATGCAAACTTTCACTCTCATCTTCGACTTACACTCACTGCAACGAAGCAAATATATATGGATTGTTTATGAAATTAGCTAGTCCGTCAATTTGACGGGTTTCGTAGAGATAGGTATACCACATACAGATTTTAATAATTAGAAGGCTTAGGAAAAAATAATTGCGTGTACAAATTCTTTGGATGAAATGATTAATTTACGATACAAAAATGGTTAAAATGAATGCTATGGTTTTTTCGGTATTTCTTTTTGAAGTTTGAATTCCGTCAAATTTACGGGTCCCGTAAACCTAGTGTTAACTAAAATCCACATTGCTGGTAAACAAATGTAAAATTAATAAAAACATTAAATTTGAATTAAGGCGAACTGAAATCCGTCGAGAAACAATCGGCGGTTAAAACAGACTTTTGCACCTGATATATGTGCCCATAATTATGGAAGTGGTCTAAGTCAAAATTTAAAAAAAAATGAGTTTATCAGTTATTTCACGCCATATTATTTCAAACGAAATTAATTCAATGTCATTTTGAAACAAAAAATATATGACTTAGACCACTTTCATAATTATGGGCACATATACGTCTGCAACAACGCCTTATGTTATCAACACATGTATATAATATACCCTAGTAGCACAAAATATTTGTCTTATATTATTAAGATATTTAACGAATATTGTACATTTTGTAAATATTTAGCAGTCCTTTGAAATATTCACGAAACATTTACTTTAGAATATTATTTTTATAACATTAGCTCCACGTGGTTTCGTAATATTTTTCTTACAGATATGCAAAACATTTAGTTTCATTTCATTATAACTGTTTTTACATATTATTGGCCGAATACATTACAAAAATTTTAAAAATATTTACCGGGTGTATAAGCTTAAGGTGAAGTGAAACACGTTGAGGAACTTGATCGACGTCGATAAAGAAGATTTTTCTACATACCTACGTTGCCGACGTTCGTTTTTATATTGACAGTTGTGTCGAATTATGTTGGGTAATGCATTAAGTGGCATACTCCACCTGTTGTTTTCGTACAATAATTATAAAGAAATCGAAGTAAAACACCAGAAATTCTCTGGATGCATGCTTTCTGGGACTCTAATTGACTGTAGAGGGACTCCCTGCGCCATCTGTGATTTCCAGGTCAATTAAATTTTCACTCCGAGACCTCGTATTACCATCGTTTTAGCATAGAAGCGCATACAACACTTTTTTTGTCTTTATCCCGTTCAAATGCGAGTTTATCGATTACCAGAGTGTTCTAAATTGTCATAAAATTGTCCTGACCCTTTCGATTTTCATATCGGAGCCTTCGATAATTGTATATCGATCGAAATATGAGAGCTCGACGCCATTTTGGTTCTGACCTGGGCTCAGTTAAAACATTTTTTCCAAAAATCCAAATTTTGAATGTGTCAGGACAATTCTTAGATGATCAGAAGTGATGTATCAAAGTTTCGGACATTTTGGTCTAATACCCTTAAAAAAAAGTGTTGTATTCGAATCGACTGATTTGAAGGGGGTTTCACTTCACCTTAAATCCGCTGTTTTTTTTTTTCATAGAAAGCGGAAAATTAATTTATTCAAAGTACTGGCCCTCGCTAGCTACCCATTTGTCCCATCTCTCGGGCAATTTGTGGATACCACGCCAAAAAAATTCCTTCTCTTTCGAGGAAATTGCTAAGTACAAAATCGACAAGGAACAACAGCCGCCTACCTTGCTTGTCCCCAGTCAAGACCCACACCTTGATGCCGGCCAGGCTGAGATTGGCAATAGCTTGTGGAACGCCATCCTGGAGTTTATCCTCGATAGCGGTGGCGCCGAGCAACGTCATGTCCTTTTCGATCTCCTCGTAGATGGCATCGAGTCGGTCATCCCGGTTCTCCTGGCTCAGAGCCGCGTCCTGATGGCGCTGTTTCCAGTCATTGAAGAAGCTCTCGTCGAGGTCCCTGACCGAAAGGCAGAGCGTCCTGAGGCCCTCCCCAGCGAACTTGTTCAGATGTTCCTGGGTCTTGTTCTTCGTGTCCTCGTTGCCGGGCTTCAGGCGTTCGTAGATGACGTTGTCGGCTCCTTTGCAGTAGAGCCTGAGCTGGCCGTCCTTCCTTAGGATGACGGACATGCGTTTCCGCACGTTGTTGAAGTCGAGAATACAGAGGAGCTCGTAGACCTCCCGCTCCCCCATGACCTCGATGGTGATGCTGTTGGGTGAGCGCTCCTTGAAAACGAAGCCGAAGTTCCTGGCAGCGGATACCAGAGCCGCCTCGTCCGGCGACTGTGCCTGGTACTCCAGTTTGCCGTTCTTCTCCTCGGGCATGACCGTGTGACACAAGGCCAACAACCTGAAAAAGCTGTGCACGTCTGTGCTGTTCCTTCGGACGGCGTCCAACAAGGTCGGGTCGTAGAACTTGAACTCCGGCTCGTAGTCCTTGTTGAAGGAGAAGTCCAGCGCCGGCGACGTCTGGGAACAGATCAACCGTATCGTTTATTGCTTCCTTCACCCCCTGTCCAGGCAAAGACCGATGTCGTTAGTGGAAGAGAGGAATTATGCGGTTAAATGCGCAACTCCTGGCTAGGCAACGCCAAAGGATCAACCCCGGAGGTACCTGGTTTGCAGGCCGCGCAGGGCGGTTCGTTCGATCCAACCTGGACCCAAGGTTGACGTAGTCCTGACGATTCGACCGGTACTCGTTAGGCATAATTAAGATCGACTGCGGTCCTACACCGAGCCGAATCTCATACGGGACAAAGACAATAAGCCAAGATACGAACCTTTCCCGCTTCTTCCCTGCGTTACCCTCGAAGATAAGTCGACTTATCGTCAAATTCTTCGTCGTCGTCGCCCCCAAGGATACGAGAAGTCTACTAACTAGTCCTGCGCGTATCGAAAGAAATACAATTACCAATCTATTTACCTTTTTGGCTAACTCTCCCGTTAGTTTTCTAACGAAATAATCAATCACTTCGCGGAGAAACTCCCGAAACCCCAGCAGACTTTCAAGGGAGCTAGTTAATTGTGAAATGTGTTTTAACCAAAGTGAGTTAACGGCGTTCACCACCAAAGTGGGGATGATGACTTCCACCAATAGATGGCATTAGCATCGAATTCGGTGGGAGGTAATCAAAACGTACTTTCTCGATCGGATGAGAGAGACGCGACGCGTAATGGACGGGGTTTGGCGACGGTCGAAACATATGTGCGTGCAAGGCACGCACATATGTTTACGTGTTATTTATTTGTTATTTTATGTTGTTTTGTTGTATTTTATGTTATGTTATGTTGTATTTGATGTTATGTTATGTTGTATTTGATGTTATGTTATGATGTATTTGGTGTTACGTTATGTTGTATTTTATGTTATGTCATGTCGTATTTTATGTTTTGTTATGTTGTATTTTATGTTATGTTATGTTGTATTTGATGTTACGTTATGTTGTATTTTGTTATATTATGTTGTATTTTATGTTATGTTATGTTGTATTTTATGTTATATTATGTTGTATTTTATGTTATGTTGTGTTGTATTTTATGTTATATTATGTTGTATTTGATGTTACGTTATGTTGTATTTTATGTTATATTATGTTGTATTTGATGTTACGTTATGTTGTATTTTATGTTATGTTATGTTGTATTTGATGTTATTTTATGTGTTATTTATATGTATAGGACGCACACAACGACTAACCGACTTTGAGTAGCGTTGAAACGTATGTACCACACAGGCGCACGCAGCGCCAGTTGGATGCTCCATCTAGATTCGGCAACAGTTACTAAGGAATGCTCAAATTCCACACGAGAAACTCGAAAATAGAGAAAATGGTGCTCCACGGAGACAACGATTTTGAGCGTATTTCTCAACCGATCGAGTTCAACGAGTACTCGTATTAAGGTGATGTGAAAGTGGCGTCGAAGAGGTTTTGTTTATAAAACTTTTCTCCCAACTCGGTTTACCGAATAGTTTGAAACTTTGCAACGTGAATAGGGGAACTATAAGGAAGGTCCTGAAACTCATGAAATTTCTATTCTTTTCGAATTTGTTTATAGGTATTTTAAAAATAGTTTATAAAAAATGAAATTTCACGAGTTTCAGGACCTTCCTTATAGTTTCCCTATTCACGTAGTAAAGTTTCAAACTACTCGGTAAACCGAGTTGGGAGAAAAGTTTTATAAACAAAACCTCTTCGACGTCACTTTCACATCACCTTAAATGAAATACTTCCTGTATATTTGCACTCTCTTTCAAAAATTTACTCATACCGTACGTTTGTCGCTAAAAGACATTTATATGTAGTCTTTAAATGATTAAAAGATGTTTTTTAACACTAAAACTGAGGTAAGTGTACGAACCTTAAACTCACTTTGATTAACCCTTTCGCTACGACGGGTGACTATACTCACCGTACGTTTGGTCCAATATTGCCTGTACGGTCAGACGAATTTCGCCCATATGTCGAAAAGACTCCTTGCTCAAAGGGTTAAAACGCATTTCACAATGTACAAATCCCCTTATGTATAATAAGCAAAACCACCCTTTGAGTCGACGATTTAAAAAACAAAGTCTCGATAAAAGCATTACCGGAATGAGGAGAATAATGGAATTCAATTTTTCCCTTAGCGGTTCTATGTCGAGGTTGGCTCAACATGTACAAGGCAATTTGGAAAACTCAGATCGCAAAGGGGTAAGGAAAGGCCATTCAACAATTACAAGACGATTTCAAAAACTCAAATCGCAAAGGGTACAGACACATGATTCCAAGAACGATATAATGCCTTGCAAATATGAGCGAGTGCCAGAGGAAGAGAAGACAGGCGGATGGAAGACCAGGTGATAGAAGCGAGAAGAAAAATGTCGAGATGGTTTGGGATGGAAGAGAAGATCCTAGAGGAGAGAACGAGAAAAATCTTCGGTGGAGACAACCGATTCCGCCACATATTGGGCTGATGCATATGTCATTGCGCATTTTTTCAAATATAAAAATGCGCGCAGGAATTAAATGTTTTAACATAATGTTATATGTCACATTAAAGAGAAATTTTCACTCCACAGGACAGTGTTTTATTATTTTTGTTAGATTTAATTTTTGTGAATTTTCAGGCAATTAAGGTGAAGTGAAAGACACCGAGGAACTTGATCGACGTCGATAAAGAAGATTTTTCTAAATGCCTACGTTGCCGACGTTGGTTTTTATACTGATAGCTGTGTCGAATTATATTGGGTTTTGCACCAAATGGCATACTCCACCTGTCGTTTTCGTACAATAATTATAAAGAAATCGAAGTAAAACTCCAGAAATCCTCTGAATTCGTGCTTTCTGGGGCCTTAATTGACTGCAGGGGATCCCCTGCGCCATCTGTGATTTCCAGGTCAATTAAATTTTCACTCCGAGACCTCGTATTCCCATTGTTTTAGCATAGAAGCGCATACAACACTTTTTTTTGCTTTTATCCCTTGAAATGCGAGTTCATCGATTACCAGAGTGTTCTAAATTGTCGTAAAATTGTTCTAACCCTTTCGATTCTCATATCAGAGCCTTCGATAATTGTATATTGATCGAAATATGAGAGCTCGACGCCATTTTGGTTCCGGTCTGGGCTGAGTTAACAAATTTTTATAAAAAATCAAAATTTTGAAGGTGTTAGGACAATTCTTAGATGATCAGGAGTGACGTGTCAAAGTTTCAGATAGTTTGATCTAATACCCTTAAAAAAAAGTGTTGTATTCGAATCGACTGATTTGAAGGGGGTTTCACTTCATCTTCGATAAATCACACAATCGATAAACTCGCATTTGAACGGGATAAAGGCAAAAAAAGTGTTGTATACGCTTCTATGCTAAAACGATGGTAATACGAGGTCTCGGAGTGAAAACTTAATTGACCTGGAAATCACAGATGGCGCAGGGGGTCCTTCTGCAGTCAATTAGGGCCCCAGAAAGCACGAACCCAGAGGATTTCTGGAGTTTTACTTCGCTTTCTTTATAATTATTGTACGAAAACGACAGGCGGAGTATGCCATTTGGTACAATACCCAATATAATTAGACCCAGCTGTCAATATAAAAACCAATGTCGGCAACGTAGGCATTTATAAAAATCTTCTTTATCGACGTAGATCAAGTTCCTCGACGTGTTTCACTTCACCTTAAAAAGGTTGCCTTATTCAAATTGACCGGTTTGAGGCAGGTTTCACCTCACCTTAATAAAAATATATTTGAGGAGAATTGTTATATTCCGGAAGAGGGAATGTCGGGAAGAAAGTCGCCTTGGCGCGTTGGATTTGACAAGCATGCGTACTGAAAAGACGGGTGCAATTTTGGGAACACCATTGATGCCCGTCCACGGTCCGAGGTGAGCGGTTCCGATCCCGGTTCCAGTTCTGGTCCGATGTTGCTGCTCCAGTTCCGGCTCCGGACTCGTGTTGGACATCCGGTCGGCTTGCTCTAGGAGGCGCGCGTTTGCCCCACTAATAGGGCTGTAAACCTGACGGACAAACTCCTGCCCGTTCTTCCACTTGATCGTCGGCGTCTGCACGGCCCTGTCCGTCTACATGCAGCACACACATGCTATATGATGCGCACCGAATATCAAACATCACGGGGACCGCAGACAACGGGGGTCGAGGGATGAAAAGGTATAAATAGTTCCTTTCTTGGAAGGAAATTGAAACCAACCCTTTTCTCTAAATTAGTGCAAAGAACCGTTTAGGATTTCCAGAGTAGACTAACCAAGTTAGAACGATGGATTATCAACTCTACCTTGTTCATGAATGATCGAGGGATAAAAAGGTATAAATAGTTCCTTTCTTCGAGGGAATTGAAACCAACCCTTTTCTCTAAATTAGTACAAAGAACCGTTTAGGATTTTCAAAGTAGACTAACCAAGTTAGAACGATGGATTATCAACTGTACCTGGTTCAAGAATGATCGAGGGATAAACAGGTATAAATAGTTCCTTTCTTTGAAGGAAATTGAACCCAACCCTTTTCTCTAAATTAGTGCAAAGACCCATTTAGGTTTTTCAGAGTAGACTAACCAAGTTAGAACGATGGATTATCAACTGTACCTGGTTCGGGAATGATCGGGTGATAAAAAGGTATAAATAGTTTTTTTCTTCGAGGGAATTGAAACCAACCCTTTTCTCTAAATTAGTGCAAAGAACCGTTTAGGATTTTCAGAGTAGACTAACCAAGTTAGAACGATTGATTATCAACTGTACCTGGTCCAAGAATGATCGAATGATGAAAAGGTATAAATAGTTCCTTTCTTCGAGGGAATTGAAACCAACCCTTTTCTCTAAATTAGTGCAAAGAACCGTTTAGGATTTTCAGAGTAGACTAATCAAGTTAGAACGATCTAACCTAAAGTTCGTATAAAAAGTTAAGAAAAAAAAAAAAATGAATAGGTATGTAAGATAATTCGAAATAGTTAAAACGATATCTAAGTAATAAACATCCTTCTGGCTTGGTCAGTCTCCTATGTACTTTTGACAATAATTGCGAAATATGATTATTTTACTGTGGATTAAGATAATACTAAAGTGCAGTTGAAAATCGTTTGAAACGTTACATAATGCATCTAACCGTTACATAATATATTAATATTCCGTTGTCTGTGGTCCCCAAGCGATTGGCGTCACATGTGCGAATTCATGAAATCAACATTCAAAGTACCAAGAAAAACATTTCCCTTACATGTTGCTCGTTTGACGACGGTGGACTCTTTCCGACCTTCGACTGAATTTTTTTCCAGTAACTTTCGAAATCACTTTTGTTTACTTTCCTTTCACATGCGCTAAATTCGTCATGTAAATTTAATTTACATCCTACTTCATAGAATTTGTGTTCTGCTGTGATTACACCCTTCAAACAGGACATTATAATGTAACATAGAAAGAGATATGTATACTATTTTTCATCCTCCATGCAAATCGGAAGTCCGACTTTTAAGGTGAAGTGAAACACGTCGTGGAACTTGATCAATGTCGATAAAGAAGATTTTTCTAAATGCCTACGTTGCCGACGTTCGTTTTTATATTGACAGCTGGGTCGAATTACATTGAATATTGTACTAAATGGCATACTATACCTGTCGTTTTGGTATAATAAATATCAAGAAATCGAAGTAAAACTCCAGAAATCCTCTGGATTCAAGCTTTCTGGGGCCCTAATTGACTGCAGCGGGACACCCTGCGCCATCTGTGATTTCCAGGTCAATTAAATTGTCACTCCGAGACCCTGTATTACCATCGTTTTGGCATAGAAGCGCATACAACACTTTTTTTGCCCTTATCCTGTTCAAATGCGAGTTTATCGATTACCAGAGTGTTCTAAATTGTTGTAAAACTGTCCTGACCCTTTCGATTCTATCAGAGCCTTCGATAATTGTATATTGATCGAAATATGAGAGCTCGACGCCATTTTGGTTCTGGTCTGGGCTGAGTTAAAAAATGTTGTCCAAAAATCCATATTTTGAATGTGTCAGGACAATTCTTAGATGATCAGAAGTGATGCGTCAAAGTTTCGGACAGTTTGGTCTAATACCCTTAAAAATAAGTGTTGTATTCGAATCGACTGATTTGAAGGGTGTTTCACTTCACCTTAAGATCATATGAAAGGCGCTGAGAAATTTAATCGAGGTCGATAAATTAAAATTCATCCATACCCTTTTTGGTGGTCACGTCATTTTGAATATCCAAGTGGGAACATAAGCTGGCACGTCCGACATTTATATTTATATTGAAGTCTTTTACAGTCTACATTGAGAATTACACGAACTGAAGCGTTCCATGTGCCATTTCGGTACAGTAATGATGAAGAGATCAACGTAAAACTGTTGAAATCCCGTGAATTTATTATTCTAACGACTGTTTAGGATCAACGCCGCCATCTGTGACGTTTAGCTGCAACTAAAGTTTTGCTCTAAAAAGACGGGTTAGCTACTAGGCAGGCCAGCATTCTCTTGCAATCAATGGCGAAAGTATTTTCCCATCTGACTGTCTAAAAATTCCTTTTCTACGGTATTCTAAATTGCTCGAGCTAGGTCCTGAAACTCTTCTTTTTCGATTGTAAGTCTCCAAGAAGAGTAAAACATCGAAAATGTGCACGGACCCTACCATGTTGGTTCCAGTCCATGATATATAAATACATTTTTGACGAAAAATGAAATTTCACGAGTTTCAGGACTTACCTCAGGATATCTATGTTCACGTGGAAAAATTTGAAACGAATCGGTACCCCCAATTCGGAGAATACTTTCCCCAAAGATTTGACCGCTCAGATATATATAGACTGACTCTTTCATATCGCCTTAAGGCGAAGTGAAGCCCCCTTCAAATCAGTCAATTCGAATACAACACTTTTTTTTAAGGGTATTAGACCAAACTGTCCAAAACTTTGACACATCGGTCCTGATCGTCTAAGGATTGTCCTGACACATTCAAAATTTGGATTTTTGGAAAAAATTGTTTAACTTAGCCCAGACCAGAACCAAAATGGCGTCCAGCTCTTATATTTCGATCGATATACAATTATCGAAGACTCTGATATGAGAAACGAAAGGGTCAGGACAATTTTACGACAATTTAAAACACTCTGGTAATCGATAAACTCGCATTTGAACGGGATAAAGGCAAAAAAAGTGTTTTATGCGCTTCTATGCTAACACAATAAGAATACGAGATCTCGGAGTGAACATTTAATTGACCTGGAAATCACAGATGGCGCAAGGTGTCCCTCTGCAGTCAACTAGGGCCCCAGAAAGCATGAATCCAGAGGATTTCTGGAGTTTTACTTCAATTTCTTTATAATTAATGCACGAAAACGACAGGTGGAGTATGTCATTTAATACAATACCCAATATAATTTGACAGAGCTGTCAATATAAAAACGAACGTCGGCAACGTAGGCATTTAGAAAAATCTTCTTTGTCAACGTCGATCAAGTTCCTCGACGTGTTTCGCTTGACCTTAAAGGTTGAATAAGATATCCCCGTGGTCCATCGAAGAACAAAATGTCGAACTGTTTCTCGTTAGATCAAAAGAATACGAGCAAAAGAGGATAATCATTCGGTATCGTCATTTGGATATTTTGACATTTAGGTGGTGACAAAATGCAGTTCTGCGAGCAAAAGCCGAAACATGATCTTAAGCATAGGGTTCTTGGGAGATATTTCATTTGCAAATATCCGGGGGGCATCATAGACTGCTGACATTCTCACGTACGTGTAGATATTCATCGTTTTCAAAATTCATTGTTATAAAACTACATACCGAAAATTAATTTCAAAAGTCACTCGTAGATCTCACATTCTACGCAACAACAGGAGACTCGTATATTACCAAAGTAAACCGCGATTTTCGATTAATAACTCGATCACCAATAGATCAAGTCCGAATTTGAAATGTGTATTCAAATGTGTTTGATAAATGAAATACATTAAGGGGATCATATACGTCTTTCAGTGCAGAAAAATTGAATTACACTTTTTTTACATGATTTTTTCATAAGTAACATACCATATAAATATTTTAACGCAAAAGCGAATTAGAAATTTAAGTATTCACAAAAGTTACATTTAATTGAACGAAACTAGTTATGCCATTTTACCATAACACAACAAATCCGAATTTGAAATGTGTATTTAAATGTGTTTGAAGAATGCAATACATTTAAGGGGATCATATACGTCTTTCAGTATAGAAAAATTGAATCACACTTTTTTTACATAATTTTTACATAAGCAACATACCGTAGAAATATTTTAACGCAAAGGCGAATTAGAAATTCGAGATATTCACAAAAGTTAATTTAATTGAACGAAACTAGTCGTGCCATTTTACCATAATAGAACAAATCCGAATTTGAAATGTGTATTTAAATGTGTTTGAAGAATGCAATACATTTAAGGGGATCATATACGTCTTTCAGTGTAGAAAAATTGAATTACACTTTTTTTTACATAATTTTGATATAAGCTTTTTCTCCGAGCTATTACCATTTCCGCAATTTACTTTTTCTTTTTTTCAAATTCTTCCCCATAAGTCGAGAACTACGGTCCCAATATGTAACACAAAATAGAAAACATTTCTTTCAGCTCACTTGTACGAGCTGAATTGTGCCCACCGGTTGGAGTGGCGGTAAAAAGAACCATTTAACGTCATTGCACGCAGATACTATAAATCGTAATAATTTTTAAATTCCCATTCCTATTATCTCCAGTAAAACATACATAAGAGAAGCACCTAACCAATCGACTTAACGGTCTTACTTTAGTAACTCATACACCCTGACCACTTTTTAGTGCTGAGAAGCGTATATGGCCCTTTAGTACATTAAAATTATAATTTCAGATCCCGTTGTAGGCTCATTATTGGAAATAACGGACCAAACACCCTGTGAAACATGTCAGCGATCTAGAACAAGGGCGGAGAAACGTTCGCACCCCTTTTCGAGGACTCACCTCGCTGAGGTCGATGACCTCGCCAGTGACCTCGTCGACCAGGTCGCCGTAGCACTTGCCGGCGATGGAGCACTTGTTGAAGGTCATGATGTTCTGGGTGAGGGTGCCGGTTTTGTCGGAGAAGATGTACTCGATCTGGCCGAGCTCCTCGTTGAGGGTCGTGGTGCGAGCCTTGGCATGGGTGTTGGTTGGCTCGTAATACATCTCCTCGTCCCAATTGATGAGAAACGACTGGACGAACCGGATGACCTCGACGCTGACGTAGAGGCTGATGGGGACGACGGTGTTGAGGACGATGGCGTAGGAGAAGAAGACGAGCAGGGCTATGACGGTGGCCCCGCCCAAGGGCTCGCTGGGCACCAGCGAGTCCCAGGGTAGATAGACTTGGAAGTAACGGCCTACGAGGCTCTCCCAGATCCCGCACCCGATCATGCAGAACAGACACATGGAGAGCAGAAAGAATACTATCCCAATTATTAGGAGGTTCAGTAGCCTATCTATCGAGGTCCTCTTGAACTTAGTCTTCCCTGAGTTTTGCATCAGCTTGGTGTCCTTGCCAGCAAAGATCACCACGCCGTAGCACCATTGCGTGTTCCTGAGCACGCAACCCCTCAAGATGACCTTGTCGTTGTCCAGCGCATATCTGAAATGATATTCCCCATGAACCACCGTTGCCTCCCATCTGCCGACTCCTCCGTCGCTCTTACTTTCGCCCCTTCCAGAACAACGTCCCGTCGAATTTGTTCAGCAGATTGTTGGGCGTTTCGCAGACAATCTCCCCGTCGAACTGGCCGATCAGTTCGTTGTTGTCCATCATCTCAGCCGTCTCGGCCAGGCACTGCCGGCACTTTAAATTAGTTTCCCTGGAAGAACGTTACATCCATTCAGTGACGGTCCATCTAATGTTCGCTTAAAGTGAAGTGAAAGCCCCTTCAAATCAGTCAATTCGAATACAACACTTTTTTTTTAAGGGTATTAGACCAAACTGTCCGAAACTTTGACGCATCACTCCTGATCATCTAAGAATTGTCCTGACAAATTCAAAATTTGGATTTTTGGACAAAATTTTTTAACTCAGCCCAGATCGGAACCAAAATGGCGTCGAGCTCTCATATTTCGATCAATATACAAATATCGAAGGCTCTGATATGAGAAACGAATGGGCCAGGACAATTTTACGACAATTTAGAACACTCTGGTAATCGATAAACTCACATTTGAACGGGATAATGGCAAAAAAAGAGTTGCATGCGCTTCTATGCTAAAGCGATGGGAATACGAGGTCTCGGAGTGAAAATTTAGTTGTCCTGGAAATCACAGATGGCGCAGGGGGTCCCTCTTCAGTCAATTAGAGCCCCAGAAAGCATGAATTCAGAGGATTTCTGGAGTTTTACTTCGACTTCTTGATATTTATTGTTCGAAAACGACAGGTGGAGTATGCCATTCGGTACAATATCCAATATAATTCCACACAGCTGTCAATATAAAAACGAACGTCGGCAACGTAGGCATTTGGAAAAATCTTCTTTATCGACGTCGATCAAGTTCCTCGACGTGTTTCACTTCACCTTAAGGGGATGTGAAAGTGCCCTAAAAGAGGTTTTGTTTATAAAACTTTTCTCCCAACTCGGTTTACCGGATAGTTTGAAACTTTACAACGTGAATAGGGAGACTATAAGGAAGGTCCTGAAACTCATGAAATTTCAATTCTTTTCAAATTTGTTTATAGGTATTTTAAAAATACTTTATAAAAAATGAAATTTCCCGAGTTTCAGGACCTACCTTAGGGTCTGCATATTCACGTTTTAAAGTATGAAAAAAGTTTTATGAACGATTGAGCTTTCGGATGCTGCTTTCACATCCCCTTAAGGTGATATAAAAGACGCCGAGAAATTTCATAGTCGTTGATAAAGAAGGTTCTACTTGATATGCTTTCCGAAAAAGTTTACATTTATATTTATGTTGACAACTGTGTTGTATTTTACGGAATATTGTACAGAATAGTATACTCCATGTGTTGTTTCGGAGAATAATTTAAAGAGATTGAAGTAGCAATCAATAAATCTTCCGGGTTCGTGACTTTTGATACTCTAATCGACCAACGGCGCCACCTGTTGCATTTAGTGATAACTAAAAATTCGGTCTCAAAGTACGTGTTGCTCTTGGAATCTCCGAGTATCAACCGATCTACACCGACTACATCGGACACTCAGGGTGGAGGCCAGTCGAATTTACCGTATATATATATATTATTGTATATCACTATGTGTTATTTTATTCTCTATCTCAAAATTATTTCGGATATATGGCGAGCCCAATGGTTGCGATATAAGAATCAATGTATTAACGTTAAGAGAAAAGAACGTTATAAGTGTATGCTGTAACATTAATTNGTCGAATTTACCGTATATATATATATTATTGTATATCACTATGTGTTATTTTATTCTCTATCTCAAATCGGATTAGTTCGGATATACGTCGAGCCCAATGGTTGCAATATAAGAATCAATGTATTAACGTCAATGTATCGACGACTAGCCCTTCAATTTCCCCCGACATCCTATCAACAGATCTACACCGACCACATCGGACACTCAGGGTGGAGGCCAGTGGAATTTACCGTTTATATATTATTGTATATCACTATGTGTTATTTTATTCTCTATCTCAACTCGGATTATTTCGGATATACGTCGAGCCCAATGGTTGCAATATAAGAATCAATGTATCGACGACTAGCCCTTCAACTTCCCCCGACATCCTATCAACCGATCTACACCGACTACATCGGACACTCAGGGTGGAGGCCAGTCGAATTTACCGCATATATATTATTGTATATCACTATGTGTCATTTTATTCTCTATCTCAAATCGGATTATTTCGGATATACGTCGAGCCCAATGGTTGCAATATAAGAATCAATGTATTAACGTAAAGAAAAAAGAGCGTTACAGGTCGAAGTCGCGAACCAACTGACCCGTCCAATTCCGCAGTCTCGATGTAACAGAGGCCGTTTGGTTCGCTCGTGGAAAGCAGAAGAACATCGGCCGCAACGAACTGATCGTTCTCCATCCTAATGACGTCGCCAACCTGCACCTGAGACCACTTCTCCTCTCGCAGATTTGTACCCCGAAGAGTTTGCGATCTCCGGTTGTTCACTTGTGAATCGCTGCTATGTCGTTGCTGAAACCACATAAGACCATTAAAGGTTCCGCCGACACGCTACAACTGGGTTTTTTTTTTATTTCAATTCCACGCATCCTTTCCCTTGGGATAGGTCCAGGCTCAGTTTCTTCTCTTTCGATAAACGGTCGACTTTAAGGTGAAGTGAAACGTTACTTACAAAGTCGTCATAGGCATCTTTGACGGCAGTGAGCATGAGCACCCCGATGAGGGGTATCGCTGTTGTGATGGGCGTAAGGGAGGATATCGCGGGGATCACTTGAAGCACCAGCAGGCATAGGAAGTAGAAATTGGCGAGCCGTTGAAATTGCTCGAACAAATTCAAAGGCAGGAACGTCAGAACCGAATACTTGGACGTCTTGATGTAGTTGTTCTGCGGAAAAGAGAGAGATACTAGTTCGCGTTTCATGGTTGGTCCCTCTGCGCCCCTAGTAGCATAGAATAATTTATAAATATTTTTTTGTAATCTTTGCTAATTATCTCAAGCGACAGATTTGTATATTTCATTCGAAGATATTTGAAATATTTCTTGAAAATCTCAATGACATATTTAGTGTCAATAATTTATAAACATATATAGAACTATATATTTTTATTTATGAACATGTAATAAAAATACGTTTCTTTTACTTCACGACTATTATCGGTACTTCATTTGGTATGAAAAAACACGAGAAATTTTTCTAATATTTTCGCTCCGCTATTTCATTATGGGAGCAAAACGTGTGATTTTGATTTTAAATATTGTTAAAACGTTTACAATGTATTGGGCAGAAAATATTTCAAAAATACTTGTATTAAAATGAAACGAAATGTTTTGTATATCTGGTAGAAAAACATTATGAAAACACATGGAGCTAACATTATATAAATATTATAGGGATAATATTCTAAAGTAAACGTTTTGCAAATATTTCAAATGTCTGGTAAATATTTACAAAATGTACGATATTCGTAAAATGTATAGAAAATATAGGAGAAATATTTTGTGCTATTAGGGGCGGATCGCCGCGAACACCCGGGAAGGAACCGATGCAAATTGGATGGCTTTATTTAAGGTGATATGAAAGGGTCATTCTATTTATCGAAATGTGAAAATATTTATACAACTTTTCTCCAAACTAAGTGCACCGAATCATTTGAAACTTCATCACGAGATTATGGAGGCTATAAGGAAGAACGCGATGCTCGTGAAAATTTATTTTTCACAAATAAATGTGATCTTCATTCTAGTCCGGGCTAAAAAAAAAAAACATTTTTATTAAAAAATGAAATTTTACAAGCATCGCGTTCTTCCTTAGGATCTTCATGATCACGTGCAAAAGTGTCAAATGAATCGGTGCACTCAGTTCGGAAAAAAGTTTTATAAATATTTTCACATTTCGATATATTCGTGTAATACATATACACCAAAAAGTCAAAATATTTATAAAGCTTTTCTCCAAATTGGGTGCACCGAATCATTTGAAACTCCAATAGGAGATTATGAAGGCCCTAAGGAAGAACGCAATGCTCGTGAAATTTCATTTATCACAAATAAATGTGATCTTGAAATGTGATCTTCATTTATCACAAATAAATGTGATCTTGAAATGTGATCTTCATTTATCACAAATAAATGTGATCTTCATTTTTCGCAAATAAATGTGATCTTGGTTCTAGTCCGTGCTAAAAAAAACATATTTGTTGAAAACTGAAATTTCACATGCATCGCGTTCTTCCTTAGGACCTTCATGATCACGTGCAGAAATTTCAAATGATTCGGTGCACTCAATTTGGAGAAAAGTTGTATAAATATTTTCACATTTCGATATATTCGTGTCATACATACATACCAAAAAGTCGAAATATTTATAAAGCTTTTCTCCAAATTGGGTGCATTGAATCATTTGAAATTCCATAACGAGATTATGGAGGCCCTAAGGAAGAACGCAATGCTCGTGAAATTTCATTTATCACAAATAAATGTGATCTTCACTTTTCACAAATAAATGTGATCTTCACTTTTCACAAATAAATGTGATTCTAGTTCTAGTCTGGGCTAAATAAAAAAACATTTTTGTTGAAAACTGAAATTTTACAAGCATCGCGTTCTTCCTTAGGACCTTCATGATCACGTGCAAAAGTTTCAAATGATTCGGTGCACTCAGTTCGGAAAAAAGTTGTATAAATATTTTCACATTTCGATATATACCTGTCCTTTCATATCACCTGTAAAGAGTGGATAGGATCAACCTGCAACAGTGGATATTAAATAAATGCGCAAACAACTAGTACCTCCAAGTTGCATCAGTTTGATCCCTACACAACGGGGAGGGCCGAGAGGGGTGCGACTATAATGCGCTTAATTGAATCGTGGAAATCGAAAGTGCTCGAGTAAAAGCTACTAAACCTTCGAGAGGCCAGCTGGCCTTTAAACAATGCAATTGCTTCCATTTTTTATCGATAATAAAAAAATCTAAAAAATACCCTGACGGATACATATCGGTAGGCACACAATAGCGCGCATATATATTTTAGAACACTTTGTGAATTTCCCAAATTTCGTCATGAACAAATTAGTAAAAGGAATTATTGATGCAGCACTGGTAAAGAAAATACACTAGTAAAGAGAATAATAAATAAATGAATAAGATAATAAATAAATAATAAAGTAATTGAATGTGTTGTCATTATGATGAAATCGAGAAGCTGTATTTCTAAATATACAAGATTATTATTGCAGCCTTCGTAAAACCTTAATCAATTAGTAAAGAGTGTAATATGTAAAAATGGTAAATAGATAGATCAATAAATAAATAGCAAATTAATTTAACAAGTTATTGTCATCTTATAGAGGAGACCCTGTCCCAAAATATACGAGTAATAGCGTACTTATAAAACACCTTGCTTATCACTGGATGAAACTCCATTATCTTTCTCTTTTTAGAGTTATTATAAACCATTCGGTTAATGATTCAAATCTCGAGACATTTTGAGTATTAACTGCCGAATTTAATTTCATCATTGGATACTTATTGTTGAGTAAACCATCTTAGGTATGGTGTGCTCGTAGCATAATTCAACTATTACTTCTATTTCTTATTTCTTTCCTCGAATTGAAAGATGACACTTGCAGATGACCCACCTATCTAATTATTCGGATAATAATAATCTCGGGACTTTTCGATTATCCATTGACGGATATGATTTCGTCATCGATTACATATGATTAAATGTATTTATTAGATATCGCTTGCTTACCGCATAATTAAACTGTGAGTTGTACTCGCGGTTATTGGCGCGTATTCGTCTCTCCGTCTCTGGAAGAAAAATGATTCGTTAATGATCATTTAAGAAAGAGATGAAACATTCTAAGCGCATACTAGCACTCGGGCAAAACACTCGATGACATTATCTATTGTCGTACAGTTAAAAAATCCTGAATAATTGAAATGTGTACAGCAATACACGAGGAATTAAGGTGATATGAAAGGCACCGAGAAAATTAATCGATGTCGATAAAATAAAATTAATTTATACTCTTTTAAGCGGTAACGTCATTTTGGATACTAGAGGGGTAACGTAAGATGGCGCACTACGTTACCGACATTTATATTTACGTTGATGTCTGTTGTACNTAAAATTAATTTATACTCTTTTAAGCGGTAACGTCATTTTGGATACTAGAGGGGTAACGTAAGATGGCGCACTACGTTACCGACATTTATATTTACGTTGATGTCTGTTGTACTCTAGATTAAGTTACGATTTAACCCATGTCCTCCTTATAAGGTATATACTAAATGGTTAAACGATAATTTCTTGAAAATTCCTGATAGGTGCGCGTTATCCCTTTGGCAAATAGTTTTATACGTTGAGGACTACGAGATAACAAAGTATTGTGGAAATCTGAAACGGCCATACCTAATCCTCTCTTTGTGAAATAAATCAGCGGATGGAGTGCCAAACCACTTGGGAAGAACACGAGTTCAAATCCAACTACCGACTTCGGATTCTTTCCAGCAAAAAATTAATGTATTATCGCCAATAATGAGTATCAAATAAAAGTTGTAAAAAAAAAAAAGGGAAAGCGAATTCTTAATTCAGCCAATTTTCATTTTTTGCTCGGATAGCAGTTTTAAGGTGAAGTGAAACACGTTGAGGAACTTGATAGACGTCGGTAAAAAAGGTTTTTATAAATACCTACGTTGCCGACCTTCGTCTTTATATTGATAGCTGTGTCGAATTATATCGGGTATTGTACCAAATGGCATACTCCCCCTTCAAATCAGTCGATTCGAATACAAAACTTTTTTTTTAAGGGTATTAGACAACTGTCCGAAACTTTGACACGTTACTCGTGATTACCTAAGAATTGACCAGACACATTACAAATTTGGATTTTTGGAAAAAATTTGTTAACTTAGCCAAGACCAGAACCAAAATGGCGTCGAGCTCTCATATTTCGATCAATATACAATAATCGAAGACTCTGATAAGAGAAACGGAAGGGTTAAGACAATTTTACGACAATTTAGAACACTCTGGTAATCGATAAACTCGCATTTGAACAGGATAAGAGCAAAAAAAGTGTTTTATGCGCTTCTATGCCAAAACGATGGGAATACGAAGTCTTGGAGTGAAAATTTAATCGACCTGGAAATCACAGATGGCGCATGGGGTCTCTCTGCAGTCAATTAGGGCCCCAGAAAGCATGAATTCGGAGGATTTTTGGAGTTTTGCTTCGATTTCTTGATATTTATTGCACGAAAACGACAGGTGGAGTATGCCATTTGGTACAAAATCCAATATAATTCGACCCAGCTATCAATATGAAAACGAACGTCGGCAGCGTAGGCATTTAGGAAAATCTTCTTTATCGACGTCGATCAAGTTCCTCGACGTGTTTCGCTTCACCTTAAATGTGCCAAACACATAAGGAACGGGTCTCGCGAAACAAATTTTTATGTTTAAGACATATTTTGGTTTCATTCTAACATCATATACATATTTAGTTAATATTCGTTACTCATACGTTCTCAATTAATACTTCATAAATATGGTTCTATAGAATTTTATTTCAGATTTTATTTGATGTCAAACGCAGCCTTATCGACGTCCTCTCCGCTATGCTTTCAGTTGGGGAACGCGGTTGATTGGTTGTGTTTCAATGAATTATTACAGGAAAATTATGCACCGTAGGAAAAAGTAATGTAGGACTTTTCCACTCCTTTTTCATCAAGGATGACATTGTCTAAACCATGACCATAGTTTCCGTTGGACCCTGTAGATTGACGTAACTCGGCAAAGCATTAAGGTGAAGTGAAACATGTCGAATTATATTGTGTATTGTACCAAATGGCATATTCCACCTGTCGTTTTCGGACAATAATTATGAAAAAATCGAAGTAAAACTCCAGAAATCCTATGGATTCATGCCTTCTGGGCCCTAATTGACTGCGGAGGGAGCCCCTGCGCCATCTGTGATTTCCAGGTCAATTAAATTTTCACCCCGAGACCTCGTATTCTCATCGTTTTAACACAGAAGCGCATACAACACTTTTTTTGCCTTTATCCCGTTCAAATGCGAGTTTATCGATTACCAGAGTGTTCTAAATTGTCGTAAAATTGTCCTGACCCTTTCGATTCTCATATCAGAGCCTTCGATAATTGTATATTGATCAAAATATGAGAGCTCGACGCCATTTTGGTTCTGATCTGGACTGAGTTAAAACATTTTTTTGAAAGATTCAAATGTTTAATGTGCCAGGACAATTCTTAGCTGATCAGGAGTGATGTGTCAAAGTTTTGGACAGTTTGACCTAATACCCTTAAAAAAAAGTGTTGTATTCGAATCGACTGATTTGAAGGATGTTTCACTTCACCTTAATCGGCCGAGTTGCTGGGAATGTGCCATTGCGGGTCGTCAACGAAGGACGAGACCTCTTTGACGCCATTCAACCCGATTGCGCTCACAATTAACCAGGCGATAAGTCTCTACGATCTTTCGATTAGTCGCATTTAACCCGTTTATTAACAACGTAACCTGTTACTTCCGCCTAACGGCAAAGCCGGCGAGCGGAAGTTAACCCATCGCTACACTTTTTCTGGCCTTCATCGACAACCTCAATCGATCAACAAATCGTTTCAATAAAAGGCAAATCAAAATGACGAAGAATTACCTGCAATGGTGCGGGAACAAAGCTCGAGCAATTTTAGAAATCAAGCTACAAAATACCCTCAAGCCATGTAAGAAATGGCTGTGTGGATCTGGAATCCAGTTTGAGGCACAAACAAAATTAAGGTGAAGTGAAACACGTCGAGGAACTTGATCGACGTCGATAAAGAAGATTTTTATAAATACCTACGTTGCCGACGTTCGTTTTTATATTGACAACCGTGTCGAATTATGTTGAGTATTGCACTAAATGGCATACTCCACCTGTCGTTTTCGTACAGTAAATATAAAAAAATCGAAGTAAAACTCCAGAAATCCTCTGGATATATATTATTGGATATATATAAATATTGCTTTTCGTTTGGTTTTCATGGGTCTTTTTCCAAATCCTACTAAAATCGTAAATTTCGGCCGGTTATCTTCGCATAAGCACCTCTTTTTCGCCCGGCACTAAAAGGGTTAAAATAGCCAATCGTCAAGTACGTACCAAAATTAAGAAACCGAGGCTTAAGGTGAAGTGAAACACCCTTCAAATCAGATCGATTCGAATACAACACTTTTTTTTAAAGGTATTAGACCAAACTGTCCGAAACTTTGACACATCGCTCGTGGTCATCTAAGAATTGTCCTGACACATTCAAAATTTGGATTTTTCAAAAAAATTTTGTAACTTAGTCCAGAGCAGAACCAAAATGCCGTCGAGCTCTCATATTTCGATCGATATACAATTATCGAAAGCTCTGATATGAGAATCGAGAGGGTCACGGCAATTTTACGACAATTTAGAACACTCTGGTAATCGATAAACTCGTATTTGAACGGGATAAAAGCAAAAAAGTGTTGTATGCGCTTCTATGCCAAAACGATGGGAATACGAGGTCTCGGAGTGAAAATTTAATTGACCTGGAAATCACAGATGGCGCAGGGGGTCCTTCTGCAGTCAATTAGGGCCCCAGTAAGCATGAATCCAGAAGATTTCTAGAATTTTACTTCGATTTCATTATAATTATTGTACGAAAACGACAGGTGGAGTATGCCATTTGGTACAATATCCAATATAATTCGACCCAGCTGTCGATATAAAAACGAACGTCGTCAACGTAAGCATTTCGAAAAATCTTCTTTATCGACGTCGATCAAGTTCCTCGACGTGTTTCACTTCACCTTAAGTGCTAAAGAAATAAATTGTCCTTCTCGGAAGGTTTGGAAAAGTCTGCGACTTGATGGTTTCCATATGAGTCGAGAGCGATAGATGGGCGCTCTTAAAGAGACCTCTAAAAGATCGGATAGAGAGAGACCACGGGGAGTTCTATGGCGGTCCTCTATCCTTGGCGGAGAGGTTATGTCGGCGCGAAGAGTTGCGCGGTTCGAGCACAGGTACGCTCGCACCATTAGCGCAGTAGAAATGATTTGTTCATTAATCTAAATCTAATTCCAGATTAACGCTACGGTATTGGATCGATCGAGGAGGATTCAATGGGCGTTTCGAAATTTGAATGATTGGGCCGATCTTGGCCCGAGGTTTTACCAAGGATCTTACCAAAGTTGTGCCATTGTTGTATATCGCGCCTTGGTGGCCACTATCGATCCATACTTATGCCATGAGATAAACCTTGGCAGAACCTTGGCGACTATTGCCGCGGTGGTTGTGTAATAAGTTCGTGCGTTTTTCTTTAAATGCGCGCATGGAAAGATCCCGACGAACTTATTACATAACCCACACTTTTTTCCGGCATAAATGCGTTGGAATGAAACGTTGATTCGCTTCAAAGAGTGGAAGGCTTTGAAGTAAGAAATGATATTCTTGTATCTCTTCTCAATCTTGTAATAAACTAGAATTCAATAAAATTAGGTGCGTCAAGCTAGCACGGCAACATCCCAGTTCACGATTTCTGAATACAGAGGAATTATGTGCTAATTATGTGCTAATTTTGTGCTGAATTAATTCATTTTGTACCCCCACCATTTTTCCGAAATTTGAAATTTCAGTGTGGCCGTGCTAGCTTGACGTCAAGCCAGCACGTTCCCATCTCAAACAAGACAAAAAGTTAAAAACAAGTACACCAAATTG